ATATTTAACTAAAATAAACTGTATATATTGTTTCATACTTTTAACAACTACACTGGAACTGTCTACTTAATTAGAAGTGTAACGTTTACACAGTTACTGTTTGCAACATGCTGTCTTGATAAAATCACATAGATAGTCTGTAACATCACAGCACCTACAAAACGATAAATCAGTAACATTTTACAGGAAATATAGGTACATGGAGCATTCATGGCATATTCATAAACAGCTCAGTAACAGTCCATTACAATTTCATAATCATTTTTAAACATTCACCAGATGCATTCAATGATGAGTAATGAACTTGTAATGAATCGACCACACACTCACTGATGCTCAGTGTAAACAATCATTAATAATTAAAATTCATGCAGGGTATAAACAGGCTACTATATTAAGCACATAGTAAGCCTATTCAAGAGCATTTATTGTACTTAATTTAGCCACAAAGCATTTATGATTGATAAGAAACTTATGCAAATTACAATAACTACTTGTAGAAATGATGCATCTTACAGTAACATTACAGTAAAATTACATCATCGCACTTTCATGATCAACTTATGAAATATTAATGAAAATTTGATGAACTTCATGCAGATTAATGTAATGTGTAAGAATGTGAAACTTCATTAATTATTGTTTTGTATCTACCATGAACTGAATGTTTTTAAGAATTTATGAATTTTAAATGTTATTAAGAGATCAGCAGTGAGTGCGATATGGATATCTTTTGAATACCATGTGCTTAGAACCGTATTTGTTCCCTGAGCTGAAGGAATATATTTTAAAGTATTCATGATCATATCTCACCATAACTCACCATTGAATGCTTTTAATCAATTATTCAAAATGATTATGTAACATAATGAAGCGTTACCGCACTGTTTATGAATATACCATGAACGCCACATGCACATGTCGTTTGTGTAAAGCATTGCTGTTAAAGAGGAATTCCACCGCTTACCTTGTTCTTCCACTGACTGGCCACTTTATTAGAAACACCTACCTTGTACTTCCACTAACTGACCACTTTATTAGAAACACTTTGTACTTTCACTGACTGGCCACTTTATCAGAAACACCTACTATGTGCTTCTACTGACTGGCCACTTTTTATTAGAAACACCTACCTTGTACTTTCACTGAATGGCCACTTTATAAGAAACACCTACCTTACATTTTCAGTAGTTACATTCTTGTTGCATGTATTATTAATGTGTAACTATATAGTTATTATAGCGACAATATTAAGTGGCACCAAAACCCCTTCTATGAGTAAGTGTATCCAAACGTTGGACTGGTACTGTATTTGCTTTGCCCTGATGTAATGCAATTGAACACATAGATTAGTGAAACCAATCAGAGCGTCATCAAATATCATTCCTGATTCATAAGGCTGTAACGCTTGTTGGGACGATGATAATGAAATAAGAGGTAAGAAGTTCTGAAAAAATAAAATATAAAACATATTTTATGGGAATAAGTTGAAAAGATATCTTCACTTCCACATGAAGGCATTATTAGGTGTTGCTTCAAGACCAAAGATGGAAAAAAAAAAAAAGTAATGTAACACTTTGGACAAAAACACTGTACAGTAATGAAATAAGACTCCACAGTTGTTTTGCTATGCAGCTCATATTTTCTACTGAAGATCTTTATTATTTTTTTCCTCTCTGGAACAAATTAAGCTTTTAATGATTGTGCAGCTATCTTTGCATCTCCCTGCCATAACTGTAACAGTATACACATACTGTCATGTTGGAGAAATCACATTTTATGGGGTGGTTTGAGGACATTATGCCACCATAATGATATTCAAATTCTGTATTTGATATTATAATCTTCACCCAGGGGCACTGTCTAAATGCCAAAGAGAATAAATAGTCATGCAATGTGCTCGTATAAGTGTATACATTCGCATTAATGCGCATAGGCAGGCGTGCGTTTACTTGTGCACATACGTTTGCATGGCTGTACTTGTTTGAATAACAAGCTATATAAATTCACTCTGACTCAGACAATCATTGACAAGAGCAAGAACTTTTGTTATTCATGAAAAGACGGATAGCAGATAATATTGAGGAGGAATTCTAATCTTTCAGTGGGATTAACAAAGAGAGAAGCTGAGTCTCAACAGATAAAATCAGGGCTTTTTTTTTAAGATGAGAGGAGGAAGGAGATTGGTACGCCTCTAAGCTTCTACTTTGTTTGGGAACGCTATGAGGAACAGATAATTAAAGCTATCAAAATCTCTCCTACAAAGGATTCGAGATTGATGAAAAAAAAAGAAACAGACTTTTCCTACGAGATCTTGCGAGATATAGCAAGAGCACAATATGACAGTTCTAAAGAGATTAAGCTGTAGTTGTAGTTATAAAGAGATTAGGACTGGTTCTAGGTCGATAGATGAAAGAAAAGAAAGGAAGAGGAGGGCAGCAGAACAGCAACACAGGATACTACAGATTCGGAAGATGAAGCATTTCAAAGGAGAAGTGAGAGACCACGTAACTTAAGAATAGCCCAGACGGTTGGCATTGTTTTTAGTGCTGTCATAACCCATTAACACCTTAAAATCCCAGATTTAATACACACCAAGACTTATTATTCAGTAACTACAGGCACTTTAATGCACACTGGCTGAGCTATTCTTAGGCTGTAGAAGAGTGTAATGGAACTTTGGGCTGGCTGGTGGGTCCTGGCCATTTAACAGCCTAACATGATAACTATTTAAAATTATTAACTCATTTTCCCAGCTTAATTCTTCAATCCATATGTAGTAACGCAGGCTGAAGTCAGGCTGCAGCATGCTGTAACTTGATGGGATAGAATCCACAATTGTAGTTCTCTTGTTAGAAGCTTTTAAATGGCTTTTAAAGTGACACCTGCAGCAGACTAGACTGGACAATGACATGAGAGAAATATGGATAAATCAATGAGCAGCAAACTAATAAAAGCAGCAGCTTGGTGGATCTCCAGGTCCCCTCGAGAGCCTCCACTGCATGATCTATGATGTATATGATATTTACACCCGTTGACAATATACACCGATCAGGCATAACATTATGACCACCTCCTTGTTTCTATGCTCATTGTCCATTTTATCAGCTCCACTTACTATATAGGTGCACTTTGTAGTTCTACAGTTACAGACTGTAGTCCATCTGTTTCTCTGCATACTTTGTTAGCCCCCTTTTACCCTGTTCTTCAGTGGTCAGGACCCCCATGGACTATTTGGGTGGTGGATCATTCTCAGCACTGCAGTAACACTGACGTGGTGGTGGTGTGTTAGTGTGTGTTGTGCTGGTCTGAGTGGATCAGACACAGCAGTGCTGCTGGAGTTTTTGAACACTGTGTCCACTCACTGTCCACTCTATTAGACACTCCTACCTTGTCAGTCCACCTTGTAGATGTAAAGTCAGAGATGATAGCTCATCTGCTGCTGCACAGTTTGTGTTGGTCATCCTCTAGTCCTTCATCAGTGGTCACAGGACGCTGCCCACAGGACGCTGTGGGCTGGATATTTTTGGTTGGTGGACTATTCTCAGTCCAGCAGTGACACTGAGGGGTTTAAAAACTCCAGCAGCACTGCTGTGTCTGATCCACTCGTACCAGCGCAACACACACACTAACACACCACCACCACGTCAGTGTTACTGCAGTGCTGAGAATGATCCACCACCCAAATAGTACCTGCTCTGTGAGGGTCCATGGGAGTCCTGACCACTGAAGAACAGGGTAAAAGATGGACAGATGGACTACAGTCTGTAATTGTAGAACTACAAAGTGCACCTATATAATAAGTGGAGCTGATAAAATGGACAATGAGCATAGAAACAAGGAGGTGGTCATAATGTTATGCCTGAGCAGTGTATATGCACTCATTGACTCAATCGTTGGAACATGCAGATACTGTTGCTCTCACTTTTTGTGAAAGTCACATGATTTTCATATTCAGTGTTCTGTGTTCACACAATAAAAATAATGGTAATGAATTTTTGAAGGTAATGGAGCTTATTTTGTCCATTCATATAGCTATAACAAATGCACTACACTGGACAGCACCCAACCTCAGAGGCCTATTGAGAAGCATGGTCTCACTTTGTATAACGCTTAAGAAATATTCCAGCCATAAATATTTATAAAAATATATTTCACGAAGTAGGAAACAGTACATGGGTATCTTAGATTACAATACAGAGAGTAGATAATTAAACATACAAGTATATAAGCATTAAAGCACAGTAGAAAATATGATCTGCATGTAAGTCTATACTGTCCAGTCTACTGAAAATGACCATACTGTATCAGTACAAACCCAATTATGCACGCAGCTGTAGTGCCATATTTTATCTCCATGTGCAAGAGCCAACGTGCATAGACAAAACAAATAAACAAACAAACAAACAAAAAAATCCTCAAAGAAAGCTAAGGATGTCAGCGGTGACTATGTACACGTCTCTTTTTTTACTCTAATATCATACAGTGTAGCACATTACGGACAGGTCTGTAGCGTATTCCTTTACTTTATGGATTTGATTACCAGAGGGTTATACATATAATTGTTTGGAAAAGAAAAAAAAAAAATCGAGGGGTCAAATATGAACATGAACTAAATCCACTCAGCTATTGTGCTTGAAATGATCACTGGTAACACTGTATACAGTATATTAATATATACACACACAGTATCAATAAAACGTCCTTCCGATTTGCTCTGTGGATGTCACAGTCAGTGTGATTCGCCTCCTCTGTGTTTGCAGTGTGGAGTTTCTGATTTTAGCATCTTTAGCATTTATAAAATAGCTTGCCATCGGTGACAAATGCAGCAATGAAACAAAGCAGGAAAGGAAGAAACCGAAATGACACATTATTATTTTTACCTATTTCTTGTTTTCTTTTCATATATACCCGCAGCACAAAACAGACGACTGGCAATGAATATTTATATATTTATATAAATCATACTACCATTATGAAGAAACACGGTCGATGTTGGAAAAAAAGTTGAAATACAACTGTATTTAATGTTTGCTTCTGTAAAAAGAAGGCCTCGTTGTTCCTACATTTCTCTTTTTTTCTTATTCAGTCTTTTATAGGCTACTAATCTTCGAGTGTGAAACACACTAATAGCATGAATACAAAGTGTTCTGTATAAAGCAAAGCCACAAGGCTTATCCAGTTTGTTCAGTAAATCCGGCCGCTCGGTATCAAATGGTATCTCAACTAGTACCTATTAAAGCCAATGTTATGCGCTCGTCTTGAAGCTCATCTTATCTTTAATCGTACATACATTCAGCGAAGTAATGTAGACCGTATATTGCTTTATAGTTGATTTTGTAGGGTTGTTTTTCTTTTTCGTTGTTGTTTTTTTTTTTTTTCTTTTTCCCCCTTGGATTGACTGAATGACAGAGTTGGAGTTTTTTGGGAGTGGAGCCGTTATTTGAGGCCTTTGCAGTTCGTCCTCCACAAAGCCTTGTGTCCAGAAACCACGTTCTCCATCGAGTCTCTTCAAGCGACTACCAAGAATCTACTTGTTTGATGTTTCTGGTGGTCACAGTGAACAACAAATACCCAAAATTTACTGCTAGACACTCAATGACAGTAATCTAAAATCACTCCACGAGAATCATCGACCTCCTACTACAGACATCGTGTTGAAGTTCGGCTCGACGTTGTGATGTTGTATATGACTAATATGCTATCATGTCTCTCTAACAGTTCTTGAGGAAAAAAAGGTGGCCTTGTGTTCTTGAAATCCGGCAACCCCCCGTTAGCGTTATACGCGAGTCACGTGGATAAAAGCAAAAGGGTCTGAGGGGTTTCCAAGGTCAAGTTTCTTTGTCGCTTTCGCCCACAGAGTAAAGTTCCCCCAGTCTTCTGAAGTGTGGCCCCCAATCTCTGAGGTAGTCATAGTTCTGGTCTGAGTCTGAAGACGCCGTCTCCAGTGAGCTCAGAGAGCCGGCGATGGAGCCTCGGCCTTCGTAGCCGTAAATCTGGATGGAGTCGTAAGGGGGCGCTGTCGGGTCGTTGTCCGCCTCGTGCAGGCGGACGTTAATGAATTCGTCCACGTCCACTCCGTTGGGGCCCGAGTGGTGACCCTGCCTGGGCATGAACTGCAGGTCCGGTTTGATGTCCTTGCGTGGCAGGAAGCCGTTGATGCCGTCCGGATTCTGTAGCGTGGCGATGTCGAAGGCCTCGGTGTCCTCCTCCCCTCCGCCCTCGTCGTCGTAACGGATGATGTTCTCCCGCACGTCCTCGTCGTCTTTGATGATAAGCGGCTCGTTTTTGTGTCTCCGTAGCGTCACAAACAGCACCACAATGACTGGAAAACATCAAACCACACACAAATTGACATGTTAATAAATGCAGCACAATTATAACCACACTGACTTGCCAGGCCATTTTATTTACTTACACCTGGCCATTTTATTAGAAACAATCACCATATAGGTCCACTATATAGATGTAAACTTACAGACTGTAGCTCATCTGCTACTGTACAGTTTTTCAGCCCACCATTACTCCATTCATCATTGGAAAGGGACCACCATAGGACCACTCGATAGACCAGTGGCCCCGTGATGAGAAACAGTCCATTGATGAAGGACTGGAGGATGAACCACAATGTGCAACTGCTTTTTGGTGCAATATAGATCCATTTTCCCTAAAGTTTCCCTAGAAGACTATTTGTAATACATAAACCTACACAGTTTCCCAATTTTAAACAGAACTATTTCACCACATGAATAATAATTTTAATATTTAAATAGTTATTTAATCTGCAATGGTTTAATATATAATCGTTCCTCCCTTTTTTAAAGGCGATTTAGGGAAAAGTTAAATTTAATATTCAATTAAATGCTGGTTATAGAATACACTCTCAGAGGAAAATGACCTACCAAGTGTTCTTTGACATAAAAGAACCACTTTCAGTTCCTCTTGAGAACCACGTTTGAAAAAGAATGTAAAGAAACTGCTTCTTTGACTTTTAGCAATGGTGGAGCCATTTTGGTGCTAAATAAAACCATCTTTAAAAGGTTCATCAAAGTAGAACTATACTCTTAAAAAAGACTCCTAAAAGTTTTTAAAGGGTTCTTTAGTAAAGATAATGGTTCTATAATGTACCATGAACACTCAAAGAATCCTTTGATATGTAGATGTATGTAACTGGTTCAATATAGAAGCTTTTTGAAAAGGGTTCTATATAGCACCCCAAAAGAGTTCTTCTACTATTACAAGGTTAGCATCATAACAATAGAGAAACCCTTTGGTTACTATATAGAACCATTTCCAAAAAAAAAATCTATATAGAATCATCCACAGCACAATGTGAAGAACACTTTCATGATGCAAGGATCCCTTTAATCTTGTTCATGGTTCTTTATAGAACCACTTTCTTTACCAAAGAGCCCTTAAAGAACTGTGTTTAAGAGGGTACTTTACTTTAGAATCATTATTGTGCAAGTATGAAGAACTCCTTTAAAAGTTTAAAGAACCTTCACATGATGTAAAGGCTCTTCCTAGAATCTTTGCATTACATAACCATAATTGGTAACACTTTCTATGAATGTCATGTTTGTAAGCATCTATAAACACATTTATAACATGTTATAATGCCTTCATATGGCATTATAAACATGATTATAAACATTTATAAAAAATGAATTACACTGAATTACACTTTATAGCCAAGTTTATTATACATTATGAATTGTTAATATAATGCATTATAAATAGTGTTAATAACATGTTATAATGTCAGTGCCAAAGAAGTCAGTCCCAGCTTGGAGAGCGTAAAGTAAAGTCAAATACCAAGCTAACGGTGGTGTACATTACCTTTCCCACATTGGGTAAAACACTGATGGCAGCTCTAGTTTAAACTCTGACATTTGAAGCCTGTAATGTGCTTTACTGTGAATGTTTTAGTGTTTCAGTAAATCCTTCAGTAAATACTTCAACTTGAAGCCTCACTCTGAACACTGGAGGAGGCTTTAGTACAGTACGCTTCACTTTACTTAGAGCGGACAAATACCACTTATGAGCTCTTATAATTTGTTATGAACAGTACTTATAATGTATTATGTTAACAATTCATAATGCATAATAAGCATGGCTATAATGTGTAATACATTTTTATAAATATTTATAGCCATGTTTATAATGCCTTATGAATGCATTATAACATCTTATGAATGTGTTTATAGATGCTTACAAAGGTGACATCCATAGAAAGTGTTACCCCATAATCATTTACAAAAATGGTTCTCTAACCATCTATTAGAGGGTGCTTTAGGGAACCAAAGGTGTTTTATTCTGTGGGTTCATACAAAGAACCCTTTTTGGATTATTATTATGGTCACACTTTATTTAGATGGTCCCCTATAGATGATCTACAGATACTTATATTATTATTTTAACCAAACTTTCTGGTGATACTCAGTTGAGTCTCAACAACATTATGGTTAGGGTTAGGTTTAGGAGTAGGTTTAGGTTTAGGGTTAGATTTAATATAATCTTTCAGACTCAACTTCAAGTTCAATTGCATTTCATTGATATTTAATTTAATGTTAGTTAAAGACAGACTGAGTAACTACAAAGTACATCTACATCTACAGTGGACCATCCAAATTATGAATTACCATTATTATTATTGAAATAAACAAATGCACTATAAACATGAGCGATCAGAACTGCTGCAGTGGCGTACCCAGCAGGAGGATGATGCAGGCCAGGATAGCGATCAGGGCACCCATGCTGAGGCCGATGGGCAGGACGAAAGCCTCGACGTTGCAGGACTGGACGGTGCCATCTTTGCTGCAGCCGCACACACGGATGGTCAGTGTGTTGGTGCTGCTCAAGGGGGGATCTCCATCATCGGTCACTATGATGGGTAGGAAGTACATCTCCTGCTTCTGCCTCCGGAAGTAATCGTGCTTCGTAAGAATACTAATGGAATTGTCTGGAAGATGGGAAAAATACTGAGCTTAGTTTTAGTCACACTACATGTCCCAAAGTCTGTGGACATAAAAAAACACATAGTAACACTGGGGTTAGCATAGCAACCATGCAGCAACATCCTAGCAATCACCTGGAACACTGCCAAAACCACTTAGACATCCTCAAGCAACCAACTGGAATACCACTGCAACCACCTTGCAACAGCCAAGCAACCACCAGGAACAAGCTGCATCATAACAATATTATAAAAAAAAGAAAAAGCTCTTTTCTAGATATCATGTAATTACTTATTGTATGTCATTGTGTGGCAAACCATCATTCATCATTAAGGACTGTGCTGTGGATAATGAATCTACATTATGACCACCTCCTCTGCATACTTTGTTAGCCCCCTTTTACCCTGCTCTTCAGTGGTCAGGACCCCCATGGACCCTCACAGAGCAGGTACTATTTGGCTAGTGGATCATTCTTAGCACTGCAGTAACACTGATGTGGTGGTGGTGTGTTAGTGTGTGTTGCGCTGGTCTGAGTGGATCAGACACAGCAGTGCTGCTGGAGTTTTTAAACACCTCAGTGTCACTGCTGGACTGAGAATAGTCCACCAACCAAAAATATCCAGCCAACAGCGTCCTGTGGGCAGCGTCCTGTGACCACTGATGAAGGACTAGAGGATGACCAACACAGACGGTGCAGCAGCAGATGAGCTATCGTCTCTGTCTTTACATCTACAAGGTGGACCGACAAGGTAGGAGTGTCTAATAGAGTGGACAGTGAGTGGACACAGTGTTTAAAAACTCCAGCAGCACTGCTGTGTCTGATCCACTCGTACCAGCACAACACACACTAACACACCACCACCATGTCAGTGTTACTGCAGTGCTGAGAATGATCCACCAAATAGTACCTGCTCTGTGAGGGTCCATAGGGGTTCTGACATATGCAGAGAAACAGATGGACTACAGTCTGTAACTGTAGAGCTACAAAGTGCACCTATACAGTAAGTGGGGCTGATAAAATGGACAATGAGCATAGAAACAAGGAGGCGGTCATAATGTTATGCCTGACTGGTGTACATACTGCTTGAGAGTGCAACTCAAGCTGCTGAGAAACTTTGACTTTGAGTTGGCAGCAGAAGTGAAAGTATGAACATAAAAGCTCTGCTTTAGCATGTAGCCTTATTTATGGCTGTTGGAGAACATGCCGTATATGCTCATATACAATATGATCCGATCTGAAATATGAAATATGAGTTCTCGGTCCTTGTGGAAGTGTCAGTGAGAAAAGAGTGGCACAAAGTGTCGTCCTTCACAGATGGCTCTTCGGAGATCCTTCGTGTTCATTATCTACTCCTTCATCGCCTCTTACCTTCGTCTTTTTATGCTTTACACTCCCTCAAGAATCTCCTCGGCAGCAAAATGTTTTTCTAATAGTCTCCAACTTTCTGTGTTTTCTCTCTCTGAGGCATACGGGAGAGAAAGCGGCACACGAAAAAGAAAATAGGTTGAAGAGAACGCTATGAGGCGGCGTAAACACTGAGATAATGCAGCAATGAGTAGAATAAATGAGTTATGGAAATGACTTCTTCATCACATGAAAGGCTGTCTTCGGAGCAGAAAGGTTTATTTCTTCTGCTTATGAAGGTGAACGCCATCACCTTTGTGCTGCCGATGAAAGCTGGGGCCCAGCTGCTTTTCAGCAGCTCATATTTGGTAAAATTAATGTGACAGAGATTTAATTTAAGTTAATAAACATGCTAATAAAAAAATTTAAATGTGACTTTATTTTTTGTCTTCCCTAAGATCACAAAGCAATTATTTGCAAATGCGCTGGGCTGCTTTATCATTATAATTACAGTAGCATTTCTTTTTCTCTATTGTGTGCAATAACCAGAGGAGGAGGAAAATTGTCCATCATACTAATTTGTCTTATTTTATCAGAAATAATATTTTTTGACAGAGAAAGGCTGCTACCTCTGAGCTCCTTCTTTCTAGCTTGAATGTTCATGTTTGTAAGGCGTATTACTATAGTATACAGTACCAAAAGGGCTCCAAAGCTTTGGTTTACATCATTAAGGATCAACATGTCTTTAATGTAAATGAACCTCAAACCTTTCACATCGGCACTTGAGCCAAAATAGACTGTCAAAGCATTATTTAGGCAACAATTGCACTTCATAGCAAGAAAGATACACTGATGAAGAGTATTGAAGACAAATTTACCTAAAGCATTTTCAAAGAGCTGCTTTACAGTGAACATCAAACATTAGCTAAAACATTTCAAAAGAAGACAAATGTCCTTAAACTTTTGACAAGCAGAGTATACCTGATCTTATGTAGGTCCTGGCTGAGTAGAGCACTGGCAGCTTTGGACTGATAGACAGATGTAAAAGCATGTAAAAGCATGTGATGGTGTAATGCAAAAGCATGTAAAGCAGGTGATGGTGTAATGCAAAAGCGTGTAAAAGCATGTAAAAGCATGTGATGGTGTAATGTAACAGCATGTAAAAGCATGTGATGGTGTAATGTAATAGCATGTAAAAGCATGTGATGGTGTAATGTAATAGCATGTAAAAGCATGTGATGGTGTAATGCAAAAGCATGTAAAAGCATGTGATGGTGTAATGTAATAGCATGTAAAAGCATGTGATGGTGTAATGTAATAGCATGTAAAAGCATGTGATGGTGTAATGCAAAAGCGTGTAAAAGCATGTGATGGTGTAATGTAATAGCATGTAAAAGCATGTGAAGGTGTAATGCAAAAGCGTGTAAAAGCATGTGATGGTGTAATGCAAAAGCAAGTATAAGCATGTGATGGTGTAATGTAATAGCATGTAAAAGCATGTGATGGTGTAATGTAATAGCATGTAAAAGCATGTGATGGTGTAATGTAAAAGCATGTGATGGTTTATTGTAAAAGCATGTAAAAATGTGACAGTGTAATGTAGAAACGTGATGGTGTAATGTGAAAGCATGTGACAGTGTTAAAGCATGTGGCGATGTAATGTAAATAAATTTAAAAATGTGACTGTAATGTAGAAATATCACAGAGTAATGCAAAAGCATACGACAGTGTAAAGTAAAAGCCTGTAAAAGCATGTGACAGTGTAATGTTAAAGAACATGATGGTGTAAAGTAAAAGCATTTAAAACGTGTGACAGTGTAATGTAAAAACATGTAAAAACGTGACAGTGTAATGTACAAGTGTGTAAAAGCATGTGCATGGTGTAAAGTAAAAGCATGTAAAAGCATGTAAAAGCATGCACCATTATAATGTAAATGTAACAGTAAATTTCAAAAGGAAGCAATATGTCTCCACACTTTACGTGCTCTGAGCAATGGGTTTGAGGGCAAACGCTGCAGTATTTTGTCACAGTTTCACTTCCCCTAAAAGCTCTCCGGCTCTTGCTCTCGGCCTGCCCAAAATCACCCACCACTGCTGTTAGCCTTATCATCACAAACAAAGCAACAAAATGTCCCAGACAGCTCCAGAGGGCTTCGCTGTTGCCTGCTGGGAGCAGGTGGGTATCGTCATCATCATCACCCAGACGCTATATATCCCTCTACACATCCACAGCGTAGCTGCAGGGAGTTACTTAACTGAATCTTCTGGGTGGAAAATCATGCAATTAGCTGCTACTAACCAGATGAGCACACTTAATGTCACGCAATATTTACTGTACAAGTGAAATATGACAGATGATGTGAAGATTGGGAGAGATTAGATTTGATCCTCATACAGTTTTTAAACCAAAACTAAATCACTGTATGCTTCATGCAGGTAATCCAGTGATTACAGCGATGTTTTTCATTGTAAGTACCTTTGTTTCTATTTTCGATATACGCCTCGCTGCCTTCCCTCTTTTTCAGATGAGTAACAACTGAAATATCAATATATTTTGTAAAAAGGATTTTATGCATTTTATCATATGTAGGTTATATTTGTGTAATGACACTTATATTTTCAAGAGCTCTGATTATAGACAGTGTAGACTGGTTTGGCTCGTATGCAGTTGTATGCAGAAGTTTGGGCACCCTGGTGAAATTCCACATTTTGTTGATTTTCTATGTGTAAATATGTTAACACACCCTCTACAGAGACACACCTCTGCACATTTTAATTTATCATTAATGTTTGTTTGCTAAATTTAACATATTGCAAAAATGAACTAAAAACAAAATGTGGCTTCTGCAAAAATGATTGCAGATTTTATATTTCATGCTGGGAGAATTGAACTCCAATGACCACTGCAGTACGCTGCCCTTAATGCTGGCAATTTCACATTGCCTCTCTACTGAAAACAAATATCCGATTCGCTGTAATGCAAACACAGCAGTCTGTTAGACGCCACAATAAACACAATGAATAAGGCATAGAAATTAATTCTCACTTTAGTTCACTGAAACCCTTCAGATTCTAAACTTTCAATCCATACCTCATCTGCTTTAGTGAGTAGTTAAAACACTACAGTTTTGCCATATTTATGTCTTTTTTAACATTAAAACAAACAGAAAACAGCAGTGCAGAATCGAACTTGTCAAAACAGAATATAAATTGAATGTAAACCTACCACTTACTATCATTGTTATTAAATATGTACTTAAATTGAATTGAATAACAAAAACTGTAAGAACTTCTAAGCATTAAATTCCTCTTACTGACATCACAGCCTGTGTATATCACTGATATGTGTCTGTTTCTTCAGATTGTGAAGATGCTGTTAAGACGCTGCAGGCTGAAGTGATTCTGTGTAAATATGTGCAGTTTGGTCCTCAGTGAGTCGACAGGTTTCTTCTTATCATGATTAGGACTGACTCTGGCCTTGACCGTCTCTAGGTAAGTACACATTCGCTCCTGTCCCACAGAGAGAGCAGCGAAGTTAGTTTCAAATATATGCTGTAGGGGACTTTTAATTCAAAAAGGTACCGAGAATGTATACAGATCAGGCATAACATTATGACCACCTCCTTGTTTCTACGCTCATTGTCCATTTTATCAGCTCCA